AATGGAGGTGCATACCAAGTGGGTCCACCAAGATGGTTTCTGAATTTTGCATCTTTTGGCATAGCGAAGCTTTCTGAATGTGTGGGACCCAACTAACAACGTGTTGCTTTCTCTTTTCTTTTCTATGTCGGTAAGAGAGGGACAAATTCTTCCTAACACATACTATTCCATATGCAATTTGTTGAGATTGAGTGTTGATTGTGTAATTTTGGGGTAGATTAGAGTTGTGTTCTTGTGGAAAGTGGAAAGGATAAACAATTTTTTTGTGGACTATGACCCATACTTTGACGTTTAGGTTGTATGCACTGTATGGGTGAGATGTTTGACTTGTATTTTTCTTGTCACTCTGAATTTTAGTGTGCACTCGACACACCATCACTCCCACTTCCCTTTTTTTTCTTCTCTAAACTTTTAAGCAATTTCAACATTAAGAAAATCAAAAGTGAAATATGTTTTTCTAAAAATATATGAACTGAGGTGGGATAAAGACTTATAAAAAAGATATTCTCTTTTTCTCATCCTCTTTTTTTTTACTGGGCAGTAAACTATTGTCCAGGGTATATTTTTGAGCTAAAAATTACAAAATGTAATCTAATGGGTTTGGTGAGAAAGGATGAACGGTTTTTTGGGTTTTGATACGTACAATGTACACAACTGTGTGTACAAGAAAATAATTTCAGGAATAGAATTTTCACACGATATCATGAGCTCAAGGGATTTTTTTTGAAGGTTTTGAGAGATGTACAATAAACATAATTGGATTTACACACAGATGCTGTAAGGAGTAAAGTTGTTTCAGAATATCTTGATTAAAAACGCTATTATGATAATATATTGACTGAAAATGGGTTAAAGACTCATAAAATTTCTCTTCTACTCAACTTTCTTAACAAATCACCACATTATAAACGGAAAATGGATCTGATAGGGTTTTTTGTAAACTTGAAAGATGCATGAGCAGCAAAGCTGTTTTTACAAGCATTTGTTTCATGAAATGAAGTTGTATACAGAAAAACTCAAGTATAAAAAGGGGTTTTCTGATCTTATGAGCGGATGAATATGAGTCAACACTCATAAAACGTGTTTTCTTCTTATCTTGCTCAATCAAAACCCCAAAATGTAAACAGGAACAGATCTAAGAATATTTTTGCAAGTTTGGGGAATATTTGAGTGAAGAAAATCATGTAGATCCATAAATCTGAACTAAAAAACGATGGATCTACAGATCTAAAATATGGTGTAACAAATTTTAACGGATCTTGGCAAAAAAACAAACAGATTTGAACAAATGATACTAGAAATTGACAGATCTGAGGAAACCTGATATGAAACACATCAGATCTGAGGAAGAACGAGCTTGAAACCAAATGAGGCTTTTGCCACTTGCTCGAGTTCGGGATGGCGTCAAATGATGCGACATCGACCTCTAATGGAACTTCTGGTCTTCTAATGCAGCGGAGATCTGGACATCACAATGCAAACCTGTTAGAGCCGCCCCAGGGACTGTACCCCCGGAGCGGGCTCCGACGGTCAAGTTACATCAGCTAGAAGATCTGAGATGGTCCTCCATAGCTGGAGAGAACCATCTTGGTGCTGGTGGTGTGGTGGCTGGCGGCTGAGCCACCCGGCCGGAGTATAGTGGCGGCTGAACCACTTGGGGAAGATCCAGGGAAAGGTCCCTCTCGATGGAGGAGGTACTGTTCATTATATAGGGGACAATTAGGTCAAGGGGAATTAGGTCAGGCCTTTAGCCATCCTAATTCAGACCCAGCTAGCAAGGAGTTGGGTGAGGCCGCCCGGAGGCGCCGGGCGGGACTCGCAGGCGCATCCCAGGCGGCTGGCGGGAGCGCACCAGGAAAGACTGGCAAGGGGCTCTAGGCAAGGGAGTGCATGGCCGAGCCGGCAGGAGAGTCCCCAGTAGGGCTGGCAAGGGAGTCCCCAGCAAGGCTGGCAAGGGAGCGCCAGGCAAGGCTGGCACGTTAGAGCAGGCTAGGCCATGCTAGTGGACAATATTTCATCAAGTCCCCCTGGTGTTATTGGTACGCAGCCAATGACATCGGACTGGAATTAGTCGGATAAACCAACAGGAGAGTCCCCAACGAGGCTGGCAAGGGAGTCCCCGACAAGGTTAGCAGGAGCGCACCAGGCCAGGCTGGCGCGCTAAAGCAGTCTGGGCCATGCTAATGGACCATATATCATCAAGTCCCCAGTCTGGTGTTATTGGTGTGCGAGCAATGACATCGGACTGGACTTAGTCTTATAAAATGTGCGTCGTCAGGTCCCCCTAGTCTGATGCGATTGGGTTGCTGACAATCGGATCGGACTAGATAAAGCACCAATACAATAAACAATAAAGAGAATGACCGAACCTCTCCCACAGGAGCTGTAGTGTTATGCGATGAGCCAAACGCTGCTTGAGCTGACTTGATACTCTTTCATTGAGAGGAGTGCGAGCCGGTCGGTGAGATGCAACATAAATGTTGTTGCGATCATGCGGACCGAGGCTGCTAAAGGGTGTTATGCGACACTGATGTCGGTGGAATGTCGGATCGGGGTAGATAAGAAGCGTAAGCTTGCATTCAGTCCCTGAGACTGTTATCCGACGTGATTGTTGTGGTAGCCATGTGAGATGGGATGTCACTAGTAACCATCTACATAGTCTACATTGCAGCGTACCGACACTATTTCGGGACACCCTGATGTTTTAAAAGAAGATAATGATGTAATGAATGTGAATTTGAAAACGTATGTTTTTGGAAATTTATGGTTTATGCAAATGGTTTGATTATTGAAAAATAAAAAATTTCTTTGTAAAATTTGGGTTGTTACATATCTCATGGAGTAGTCATAAGACACAACAAACGACTACCTCAAGAATGATTGAAGTGTATCTTCCAATATATAATGCAACTTGCCACAAGATGTTCGTAGCTCTTATTGATGGACTTAAAGTTGTCAACATCATATCGGTTGAAAATTTATTGTTACTTGTAATTAGCTTTTCGAATAAAAATAGTTTTAGTAGGGAATGATTATATCTTCATACACAGTTCTTGTTTATACGAGATCGAGCAGATGAAAATAATATTTGTATTGAATAAATTAGCCCTCATGATATGATTGTGGATCTAATAACAAAAGGTCTACCACCTGAATTTTAACAAGAGCTTGTAGTGACGATGGTTTTACTAAAGTGGCCTTATATGATAGGATACAACTCTTATTGACTATTAATGTAATTATAAGTTTTCTTATATATCTTTGTTACTTTGTCCACACTAATGTATGCATGCCCTTATTAATTTATAGACAAATCCATATGAAACAACTCAATGTTGTATAAAGTTTGTGTGTTTTACATTGATAATGATTATGGGGTGTCATGTTGGATGATGCCATTAATGATTATATCCTTTTGTTACGACTATAAAAGGAAAATTGATGGGCATTATCTTCTTGGCCAAATTTATGAATACTCATCATAATTGTCACTTGGCCAATTGGAAGAAAGTTTGAATATTTCCCTTATATATGGTCTTAGGACCATTTTTGTAATTAATCTTATGTTATGATATAGTTTTAGTTTATAGCCTCTACTTATAAAAGTTGTTACTTGATGAAAGCAACAATTATATATACACAATTGTTAGTTTATTTCCCATTACTTGGTGATAACTTGACATAAGATTTCAGAGCGCGATTTTCTCTCTCTCTCTCTCTATAAAATACCATTCTCTCTTTCTCTCACATATACACAATTGTTAGTTTATTTCCCACAAGGCTTTTCTTGTGGCCTTTCCATAAAGACATAACAACATAAGGGAAATACAATTTCTCAAAGGATACATCATCTTCTACTTCTACTTCACACTTTGAGAGTAATGTTATTTAGCTTTTAGTCTAAACAAAAAACTTTAACTTTAAAAGTTATTTTATATGATGTTTAAGAAAAAATCATTGGATTGTTTTAATTAATTTACATAATTGGTGTAAACACACACATATATATTAACAATCTTTTTATATAATTTTATATATTTTAAAATTTTCCAGTTGCTTTTGATAAACATTTATACAATGAATATAATCTATATCTTCTAGTTACAAGTTAGTTTTTTAAAACACGTCCTAAACTCATTTGACAAACATACTAAAAAATAGTCGTCCACGTTAATATGCACAGGGTGTTTGAAATTGCTTTTAAAACAACTGTTTGATTTTTAACTTTTCTAAAAAGTCAAAAAAGTTGACAAAAGATATTTGGTTAATGAAAAAGATGTTTTTTTTAGAACGACAAATCAATTCTACTCCTTAACTACTCCTAATTCCACCTATATCTCCAATGAGATTTGAACCCTCAACCTCTAGAAGGGAGGACAACACCTGGTACCGCTGAGCTAGAAACCCATTGAGTAGAAGGAAAAATTAGGTTTTCAAAAGTCATAAATCCTGTCTTTTTCTAACTTTTGTGACTTTTTAACAAAAAAAAAAGTTGACTTTTATTCAAACCAAATACAAACATATTTTAAAAATTTTCTTTTGGAAAAACTTAGTAATAAAAAAATCTTTTTACAAAAAAAACTTTTAACCTTAAAAAGTAATCTCAAACAACAATCATTTTTTTTAATTTAAAAAAAGTGTAAAGGATGTCAACATTTGACTATATGACAATCTTGATTCTCAAAAAAAATTTGAATATTGATGCCTATTTGTTATTTGTTATAGTGAATCTTTTCAAACTATTAAAGTAACCTTCCGAAAGATTTTTATTATCGTACAGATTAATTTATAATACTAGATTACGTTTTTATTCCTTTGGAAATCCTTGAACAATTAAAACGTTTAAAAAATATATTTATACCTAAGGTCATTATGACCATTGTTGTTGCTCTTAAAACTTACACCATAGGTCCATAACGCATGAATTTAATGGGCATAAAAGCTATAACTTCTTCAAGTTCATATTAATAGGAAAAAACCCAAATTCAAACTTCATAATTTTCCTAAATGCCAAAAGCATGTCTTATGTTTTTTACATCATTGCAACACTTGTACTTTTAAGATCGATTTCGTGTGCACGTATTTTTTGTGACAATTCCCCTCTTTCCGGATCATGCAATTCAATCATTGTTCCTAGATTCGAGTCTCATGAATCTCAAATCAAGGCGTCAATGAATCCAACTCATAACTTGTCGATGACGAGTGATCATAGACTCGTCCAATCAGTCGACGGAGTAGGAAAAGTAACAAAAGTAGACTTGGTGGTGGCTCAAGATGGCTCTGGTGATTTTTCAACAATCTCCAAAGCCATTGAAGCATCTAAAAATCGACGAACTGGAACTGATAGATTTGTTATATTCGTAAAATCTGGTGTTTACATAGAAAATGTCATCATCAATTCAACAATGCCCAATTTGACACTTATTGGAGAAGGCATTGATGCAACTGTTATAACCAACAATAAAAATGCCAACGATGGATATAAAACTTATAACACCGCAACCTTCCGTAATATTTTATTCTCTTATATTTTTTCGTTGCTCAATTTACATTATTTGGTAATATACTTCTCTTTTTATCAATATTTTTAGCAACTCACTTATATTTTATGATTTGCTACAAAATATACTTTATTTCAGCCATGTCCTTGGTAACAAAAAAAAAACATATTTATTATAGGTAGGAAAATTATACATGCGTTACTATAATTTGGAAAAGAATAAAAATATCTTGTGAATGTTGTTACATATTTTATTAAAAAATAAATAAATTGCAGTTATTATTGGTTTATAAGTTTATCTATCCTAGTATTTAATTCAAAAACAGAAATGTGTAGAAATTTGGGGTTCCGGCTTTGTTGCGGCTAGAATTACATTCGAGAACACCGCCGGTCCGGAGAAACTACAAGCGGTGGCGCTTCTCTCCGCTTCAGATCTCTCAGCTTTCTTCCGATGTAGCTTCAAAGGCTACCAAGACACCCTCTGCCTCCTTCAACACCGTCAATTTTATCGCGAATGTGACATCTATGGAACCGTCGACTTCATCTTCGGTGACGCTATTGCCGTCCTCCAAGAGTGCAACATCTATCTCCGAAGACCAATGCCTGGCCAACAAAACACGATAACAGCTCAAGGAAGAACTATGTCGAGTTCGGTAACGGGGTTTGTTATTCACAAGTCGCGGGTCACCGCCGCAGCTGAGTTAACCCTAGCAAATGGATGGGTCAGGAACTTTCTAGGTCGGCCATGGAGGGACTACTCGAGGGTTGTATTTGTGAAGTGTTATCTTGATAGCTTGATTGATCCCCAAGGGTGGATGCCATATCGGGGAAGCTCTGCGTTTGATAAATTGTATTACGTAGAGTATATGAACTCAGGGGAAGGAGCAAACACCACCGGTAGGGTGAAGTGGCCGGGGTTCCATGTTTTGACTAGCGACAAAGAGGCGGAGCAGTTTTCTGTTGGGAACTTTTTGGCCGGAGATTCATGGATTCCCCAGACGGGAATTCCTTTTTATTCCGGTATTTAAATGTTTTTTACAAACAAATACATGTTGCTTGGTAGAAAACCGGTAGTGGGAAAAACAAAATAATGAACAAAAATAATAATTTCCAGTCAAATGTTTAACGTGGTATCAGGTATTGGTATATGCATATATACATGCTAAAAATTGTCCTTTTAGTAGAAATTTCAGTCAAAACTTATGATGTTAAATGGCAAAATTGTGTACGTTATGCAGACACTAACACTAACACTAACTATTGCTCTTGATGTGCATGCACATCACACCAGTAAATAAAATCCAAATCCAAAACTCTGTGGTTAACGAAAATGAACATGAACATGAAGCAAAAGACGATGTCATTATTCATTTTTGCCTTTCATGACCAAAGCCTATCCACATCACCCATAACAAATTCTGATCATCAAAGCAAATATGACTTCCACAACCCGCCCAAACTTCTCTTGAACATCTTTCATAGTTTCTAACCGAAAACATTTAAAAAAAATAAAAAAAGTTTTAAAAGAAAGCCGCTAAATATCTTGTATTTCAATTCCATGAATATAGTTTTTTTGGGCATTGACTTCTTTCGAACATACGAAAGATCAAGAGCAATGATTGAGTAGACACACAGTTGTCCTGCCTATATATTAAGTTTATTTTGCTTACCGGTTCACATTCAAACCCTTGAAAAGAGCTTTCACTGTGTTATGTGGATTTCTTGACCCAACAACATAAAATAGCAACAACAAAAAACTCATCAGATTTTATTCAGACGACATGAGTATAGATATGAATTAATTTGTATTACCTTAGACTTCACATTCTTTAAACTAGCTAGATTCAAGATTGGTTGACCGATTCTCCCTCCCATAATGACAACTTGAGTGGACCCAGGCCAAAGATACACCTACACTAGCCTGGCAATTGGGTTGGGTTCGGGTTGGCGGATTGGTGGGTCAGAAAACATAAACTCAACCCAACTCATATAATATATGGGTTGACGGGTTTGTGGGTTGGAAATCTCAACCCAACCCAATCCATATAACCCGTTTAAGTATATGGGTTCGCGGGTTCACAAGTTAATAAACAAAACACAACCCATATAACCCGTTTAATAAATAAGCAACACATTTAAAAAAATGAGGTTTTTCAACTTAAATTAATAAAATTATTAAAGTAATTAACATAAAAAAAAGGTTTTTAACATAAATTCATAAACTCAACAAGATCCAAATAAAAATGAAAAATGAAAACCTTTATAGAAAGTGGATGTGTTCTCCGTTCATTACTCATGAAAATAATGACATGTATTTTTTGTTTTTCTGATTAATGAACCGCAAATGCAAATTAGTCACATACGAATACGAAAGGAATACAATGATACGAAATATTACGAATACGGATTGAAATCGAATTTCATTAATAATTAAATATATCATTTTTTAAATGTAATATATATATATATATATATATATATATATATATATATATATATATATACACACGGGTTTGCGGATTGACCCGCGAACCCAAATAGATAACCCAACCCAACCCATGAAAAAAACGGGTTGGTGGGTTGGCGGATCAAAAATCTCAACCCAAATTCGTCTATTTTCGGGTTGGATCAGTATCAGATTACGGGTTGGGTCGAAAGTTGTCACCCCTAACCTAAACCACACTCAATTATTTGTTTTATATCCCAAAAAGTAAAAAAAAAAATAATAATAATAATAATAATAATAAAATAAAAATATAATAGACGAAAATATATTGTTAAATGTACGGATTGAAATCGAATTTCATTAATAGTTAAATGTACCATTTTTTAAATGTAATATATATATACGGGTTTGCGGATTGACCCGCGAACCCAAATAGATAACCCAACCCAACCCATGAAAAAAACGGGTTGGTGGGTTGGCGGATCAAAAATCTCAACCCAAATTCGTCTATTTTCGGGTTGGGTCAGTGTCGGATTACGGGTTGTGTCGAAAGTTGTCACCCCTAACCTAAACCACACTCAATTATTTGTTTTATATCCCAAAAAGTAAAAAAAATAATAATAATAATAAAAAAAGATAATAGACAGAAAATATATTGTAAACCTTTGTTTTCTTATAAGGCTAAGAAAAGTGGTAATATTTTTAGCAACATGTCACATCAGTTTTTTGAGTGTCATTTCATTTTCTTCATTGAACATATAATCTCAACATTTAGTAGGGAGTAGTAACACTTCTAACACTCTATTTTTTTTCTTTTTTCTAATTTAATTAAATTTCTTTATTTTAATAAACAAACATATTTTATGCACAAATAGTAATCAGGTTTTATTTTTTAAACCACCAACAAAATATAATATAAATCAATTACATGAAAATAAGTATAATATTTAAGTGTCGGGTTCTTTTGGTTCTTTTAAATCAATGTTCGATGTTTAGGACCAAATTTGTACGGAATTATCAAATGAGGGTTAAAACAATTTAATTGAAATCAAAGTTTTGAATATGTGACTGTAATAAGTTTTTTTCGGGTGATGGTTCATTTGTTAAAAGTTTTAAAACCATGTGGACCATCTATGAAGTATTTTAAAGTTGTGGATTATTATATACTTTCGAAAAACCACATGGACTATTTATGAGGTTGTGTCTAAAAAAATATTTAAAAATACATAAATTTATACTTAAGGCCATTGTTATGACCATTAAAGTTGCTCTTAAAACTTATACCATGGGGATCCATAACGCCAAAATTAATTAATTGGCATAAATGCTATAGCTTCTTCAAGTTCATATTAATATGAAAAAAACCTAAATTCATACTTCATAATTTTGCAAAATGGCAAAATTATGTCTTATGTTTTTTTACAGCATTACAACACTAGTACTTTCAAGATCAATTTCTTGTGCACGTATCATTTGTAACAATTCCCCTTTTCCCGAGTTATGCAATTCACTCATTGTTCCTAAATTGGAGTCTCGTGAATCTCAAATCAAGGCGTCAATGAGTCAAGCTCATAACTTGTCCATGACGAGTGATGATAGACTCATACAATTAGCCGAAGGAGGAGAAATAAAACAAGTAGATTTGGTCGTGGCTCAAGATGGTTCCGGTGATTTTTCAACAGTTGTCGAAGCCATCGAAGCATCTGAAAATCGAAGAACTGGAACTGAAAGATTTATTATCTACGTGAAATCTGGTGTTTATGTAGAAAATGTCATCATCAATTCGTCGATGCCCAATTTGACACTTATTGGAGAAGGCATTGATGCAACTGTTATAACCAACAATAAAAACGTCAACGATGGATATGAAACTTATAACACCGCAACCTTCAGTAATTTTTTTTCCTCTTACATTTCTTCATTACTCAATTTACATTATTTAGTAATATACTTTACTTTTTATCAATATTTTTGGCAACTTAGATTTACTACCAAAATATATTTTCTTTCAGACATGTACTTGGTAACAAAAAAAAAATACATATTTATTATGGTTAAGAAAAATTATACATATGTTATTATTATTTAGGAAAAAAAATAGAGATATCTTTTGAATGTTAGTTACATATTTTATTGTTGGTTTATGAGTTTATCTATCCTAATATTTGATTCAAAAACTGAAATGTGTAGAGATTTTGGGTTCGGGTTTTGTTGCGATTGGAATTACATTCGAGAACACCGCCGGTCCGGAGAAATTACAAGCGGTGGCGCTTCTCTCGGCTTCAGATCTCTCGGCTTTCTTCCGATGTAGCTTCAAAGGCTACCAAGACACCCTCTGCGTCTTCCAACAGCGTCAATTTTATCGCGAATGTGACATCTATGGAACCGTCGACTTCATCTTCGGTGACGCTATCGCCGTCCTCCAAGACTGTAACATCTATCTCCGAAAACCATTGTTTGGCCAACAAAACACGATAACGGCTCAAGGAAGAACCGATTCAAGTTCGGTAACAGGGTTTGTTATTCACAATTCGCGGGTCATGGCCGCCCCCGAGTTAACCCTAGCCGATGGATGGGTCAGGAACTTTCTAGGCCGGCCATGGAGGGACTACTCGAGGGTTGTATTTGTAAAGTGTAATCTCGGTAGCTTGATTGATCCCCAAGGGTGGATGTCGTATCATGATAGATCTGCTTTTGATAAACTGTATTACGCAGAGTATATGAACTCAGGGGAGGGTGCAAACACCACCGGTAGGGTCAGATGGCCAGGGTTCCATGTTTTGACCAGTGACCAAGAGGCGGAGCAGTTTTCTGTTAGGAACTTTTTGGCCGGAGATTCATGGATTCCCCAGACGGGAATTCCTTTTGATTCTGGTATTTAAATGATTTTTTAGAGACAAATAAATGTTGCTTGGTAGTGGTAGACTGGTAGTGGTAGTAGTAAGAAAAGTTTTTTTGTTAAATATTTTTGTAGAATAAATAAAATATTTATTGCAAAAAAGAACGCAATTTTTGGATTTGATTGGGTTTAAAATGTAATTTAGTGAGCAAAAACAATAATTTCCACTCAAATCAAGGTTTAACATGGTATCAGGTTTAAGATGAAAGATTTATTGCAAAAAAGAACGCAGTTTTTGGATTTGATTGGGTTTAAAATGTAATTTAGTGAGCAAAAATAATAATTTTCACTCAAATCAAGGTTTAACATGGTATCAAGTATAGGTATATCATAACACCACATATTCACTTGTACACGGTTCATATATATGCATGTTAAAAATTATCCTTTTAGCATAAATTTCACTCAAAACATATGATGATAAATAGCAAAATTTTGTACGTTATGCAGACACTAACACTAACTATTTCTCTTGATGTGCATGCACATCACACCAGTAAATAAAATCCAAATCCAAAACTCTGTGGTTAACGAACATGAACATGAACATGAACATGAAGCAAAAGACGATGTCCTTATTCATTTTGGCCTTTCATGACCAAAGCCTATCCACATCACCCATAACAAATTCCGATCATCAAAGCAAATATGACTTCCACAACCCGCCCAAACTTCTCTTGAAC